CAGAGGTCAGAAAATATTTGAAAAGGCTTTATTGCTTCTCGTATTTCCACACAACAAATTGGGAATTCCTTATCTCTTTAAGAATATACTTTTTTAAGTTCGCAGTTTTTTTTCTAAAAAAAATGCATGGTATTATTTCATTTACTTGAAAAAGGTTGCTTTTGCCTGCCATTCATAAAACTAGAAGAAAACAGTCGGTTTAGTTGCAATTGTATTATTCATGAAAGCCAATTTGTTTTGCAACATACGGCGTTGCAAAGTGAATTCAGCTTTGTGGAAACTGCATTTGTCTTTGCAAAAATGAAATACAATTTGGAATCTTTTGCATATGCAGCTATCGGCGAAGAGAGAATTTCACTTCCTGGTGATTCGAAATGTCTTTGATAAAAAAGGCATACATCCTGGAATCCAGTTTCTGTGCAATACTCGGCGTAGCAAGGACAATTTAATACCCAGTAACTCGAGACGTTCAGCATTCTGTCTATACGAATGTTGCACAAGTAACGTACCATTCCATTGAAAATGGCGTTAGACAGACGTCATATGTGTCTAGAAAATACGTTTCGAAACAGATATCAAATGATGAATCGCACATTGTTACTCCTAAAGGGAACGAATTCATAAAGAATAGAAGCAACAGCAAGAAACGCATCGTTTCTACTCAGTAAGCACAGTAACAGCTCCAATGTTTATCTACACACTGGGGATGGGCGCATAGCTACATGTAGGTGAAGAAAAAAAACATTTTACTGCTACAGTACATGTCTTTGCTTGTCCTGTCAGTTAAAGGCACGCAAATAGTACATCTGCCCCAACCTTTATAACGGCAACATTGATATGAAATTCTAAATAGATCATCCAAAAATTGAAAGATGATTTAACCAATCGTCAAAGGTGAAGTTCACAAGGTGTTGGCGTAATCAAGAGCTACATGTAGTGGGTAGTACACTGTACCATATACATGTACTTTTCTTGAACAACAAACATTATCGCTGCCCTTTCAGAGGAAATGATCCGAGAGGAAATGATTCAGAGAATGGATCCGAGTTGTTTCACTTAAGTGAATAGGTTTATTTCTGGCTCACATTGTTGATATGTTGAACCGATTAATTCCCTCACATTTATTAAAATTACAATTTAGTAAGTCTTCCAAATCACGCGTTTTTACGGTAATTCGCGAGACTTTACTAACGCGTATGGTTCCAAGTGGTTTGCAAGGCCTTCAATCTTTTTTATAGCAGGATTGCTGTTTGTAGGGTCTGAGGTAATTTGATCAATTCTTGGATACTCTACAAAGCACTCGCCGCTTCTTATTCCCTTGTGGTTTTCAATTAATAAGGTTACGTAAATGTCTTTCCATCACGGTGCCTATCCTCGGAAAAGTGATGTTATGGATGTAGGATAAAACCGATTTGTTTTGGGAGAGCGCCATCGTGAGAAGTGATTGACGGCAGGCCAATACACTAAAGAAAAAGGTTGATGCATGATGAAATAAATAACACCACTAATGACATAAGAAGTACGTTGAATGATGGGAAATTAATGAAAAAGTCTGCAGGGGATAGGTATTGTGGTGAACATTAATATGGTGTCATTTACTTTGAGCTCAAATAGACCAAAGCAAAATTAATCTCAATTTCGACATCAATCGTAGTAATGAGACTTTTGACTGCGCATCGGTACTGTACAAACAACTTCCTGCTTCCGACCTCAGCTGGGGGCGGTTTCATAACTAGCTTTGAAATGTTGGTTAAGACTTTTGGACCACATTGTAAGACCTGGCCTTCTTTCCAAGACAAGTCCTTATATGTTTAAAGTATGTATTGGTCTAAAACATTAGCCAAATACATCTTCGTTGACTACTGATTAACTTGAGTCGAAATAAACTGAAAATTTGGGCTAAAGTTTTAGACCAATTTTTGGGCTAAATTTCTTTAGTGAACCCTGCCCCGGCAGTCATTTGCTTGTCATAATGGTCTGAACCCTGCATTGATGTGTTTAACCTCGTTCCCATACCTAGATCGATCTAGAAGGATCAACCCATCTCCGAAGGGTGTCTCGCTACATTACATCCAGCTTAAACGGCTCTGATGTCCGGGACGCCTACTGAAGCTGTCAGGGGGATAATTAATTATCGTTTAGCAGCTCCATTACGCGACATCTAAGGACATTTAGCTGAATGCAATCTATAGACAATCCCACCGGAGATGGGTCGATCCTGCTAGATCGATCTAGGTATGGGAATGGGGTCTCTGATTTCAGATTAGAGCCCGGCTGAAGAGCACGACCTATGTCATAAAATATGAAGGTCGTAGATGAAAAATGATCATATTTCACCGGTGAAAAAACTATAGTACTAGTACATGTAGATCAATCCCTTATCAGAAGCTTTGACTTTTTTTCCGTGAGTCAGAAAGCATCTTATGTAAAATTTAATTCCTTGCGTCAACAGACTGAATAAATGCTAGTGGTTATAACTCGGTAGGCGAATCCAAAATTTATCAAAAGTCCAAGTTTAGTAAGCATAATGCACATTTTGCCTCTATCTGATGGGAAGAAATTCGACAACAGTAAATTTTCTCTCTGTGAGTATCCAGTCTTCTTTTCATCTTTATTTTGAAAAAAAGTCTTAAGTCTTAGCTAGTCAGCGTTTTACCATAATGTTTCCCCACAATTGCTGGTGCACCCTTTAAATTGTTTACTTTTAATCATAAATTGCGCTAAAATAGTCAATATATAGTCTGACTGAAAAAATGTCGAGCGTACAGCTCTTTTGTGTGAGATGTTACTCGTGGACAGAAGAACCGTCTCCTGATAATGCGCAACAAACGCAATGTCGATCAGTAAGTAAGACCCCGGGCTCTTATATGCCATCGGTCTATACGTGGATCGACCTAACTCTGCTGAGATTCTCGTTAAGTGCTTACGGCTTTTCAGCTTTTACTTAAAACTAAGACTGGATTCCCATGCCTAGATCGATCCAACAGGTTCCATGGGGATTCACGCTAAATTGCTATGAACTTAAGCGGCTGTCACGCCTACCGAATCAGCTAGGGGGTAATTAGCCTTCGTGCACGCTCGGCCTCCGGTAGTTAATTACCCCCTAACAGCTTTAGTAGGCCCGACAGATATTTAAGGCGCTTAAATTGATAGCAACCTAGTGAGAATCCCCTTGGAGATAGATCGATTCAAAGTTAGTACGATAGTCTCTACGAATGGTCTCTGAATGACACGCTTCTCTTGTTTCCAGCATGCTCTTATAATAGCCGGCTTTTCTGTATTCTACTGTTGAACCACCAGGAGGAGGCGTAGCATTCATTTATAGTTCCCTTATCTTTGTAAATGATTTACTGTTTTATCATCATTTCACAAGAGTCATTGAAAAGAAAATTATTTTTGGTCACCATTACTCATCTTATTTAGAATAACGTATGAAATTCTGTGTGTTACAAAACGTACTAGTATCTCTGCCATAGAGGTTTTCGTCTTGGACTATCAATCAGGTTTCGTGTTTTTTCATAGTTTTATAGGTCCTAGTTTTGGTATATCGAGGCGACTGATAAAAGCGGAGTCAATATATTGATAAAGAATACAATAGATCGACGTAACAAATACAACAAATGGGAAAGTCAAAATTCTTCAAACCCATGAAAATTATTCAGAAAAAAAGACCTCTACCCTGCCTTTATACACATACTTATTATTATTCTGCATAATAAATAATTTATCTGGAGACATGTACCAAATAATGTATGTATGATATCCCGCGTTCTTGTCTTTTTTCAGGCTGCGCCAATCTTTCAATAACCCTTCTTTATCTGCACGTAAATTAACCATTATCACGCCACAATGTAATGAATGCAAGTCCTTTAACCCCATAGGACCCAGTTAATGCTGACCCATAAAGTTCTGCTGTGCCCAATTAATTCTGTGAGCTAGACTTGAAAAGCCGGGTCACTTTAGTAAATTGGCCATAATTTATTTGTTTGCCTTTATTACCCATACAAAGTACACTTTTTTAAAAAGCCAACATTTCAAGCTAAATAAAAATAGAATTACATTTAAATTCAACGCGCTGTACAAAGAATTATGGCCGGTTAAAAACTACATTTTCATTTGATAATGGGTGAAATAAAACAAAGTTGATTTATCTTATGCACATCAATTTTTTATTTCTCCATAAATTTGCCTGAAAATTCACAGAGATGATGTCAATTATAGTAACTTTCAATCCAGGAAATTTCAGCAAGTTATCTCCATTAATTTCCAAGTTATGCTCGTTTTGCTACCAGGTATACCTACTTGAGCCAGCTTTTCAGCTCACCTGAACATCGTGGCCAGAGCTGAATAGAAGTCAATTTTTAACACCATCTATGGCAAAAACATCTTTAAAACTTTTATCATGAATAAAGGAATATCTTCCCCTCTGTCTATATCATTGTCACTCGAAAACACCTGATCAGTGTCGTAGTTTTCAATCATTTCAATAACAGTATCCATTCGCAGGCCTCTTCCGTAGTGAGAAGTCGCCATTTTGATTTTACTTTCTTCAGCTAAGTCTAGGAAATAGCCGATTTCTCGCTCATATATATTTCTATCGTCCTTTACATCATAAATAAATGAATATCATCGTCACTGTCTATGTCACTGTCACACGAAAACTTCTCATCAAAGTCCGTGTTTTCAATCATTTCAATAACAGTATCCCTTCGCAGGTCCCTACCGTAGCGAGGAGCCGCCATCTTGATTTTACTTTCTCCACCTAAGTCTTGAAAATCGCCGTTTTCTCGCTCATATATATTTCTATCGCCTTTAAAAATGGTGGCAATGAGAGACAAGAAACATACCCGGATGTTAAACTATATATCATTTTATGACTCACGATACAAAAGAGTACAGAAGACGATCTTTCCAAGATACGCACATATGCGGTTCTGGGCGTTTGGGGTAAGCGATAATTGAACCGCACATATGCGGTGACGGGCTCTATGGGGTTAAACCGTGTATTGATTTAATCGCGGACTAAATAGGGGTTTGTTTGCGGCGTTTAAGGAAAAAATGTCGATAAAGAAGTCTTTTCTTTGGATATTCTCAAAAGGAATAGTTATCACATGTATAGACTACGTGCGGTAAGTATCTCAGCTTAAACTGTAATTACCAGTGCCAGCTGACAATGTCTGATAGGCTGCACTGGTATTATATATTGTTGAGGTACCGGTATATTCAATTTTGTACACACACCCTGAGATTTTTCTGCATATAATATGCTCCAATTAAATAAAGCACTGCCGTAAATCTAATGTCAAATACAATCCTTAGCTATATATTCATCATATCAAGAAGTCTTTTTCTCCGAGTTTTCCTTGTTTAAACTATCTGTGACATCATCAGTTCCGTCCTCAGCCTGACTATCAGAGACGTCTGATAGATGCGCATGTGCGGAGGTTGGCTGCTGTTTTTCCGGAGATATTCTATGAGAGTCGTCCACAGCTGCTGCCTCCAGTTCCTTGGATATCGAAACCAACCTCTCATATTTAGGGATGTGTCTGTTTTCTGCGCTGTGGTGTATTCCGTACGCAAAATATATCACCATTCCTGAAACGAGAAGGGAAAACAATTGTATTTGCCTGAAAGCAAACCCCGATGTGACAGGCATGACAGTAGCTTGCTTGGAACCGTAGTCCATTTCTCATTACTTAAAGGTACACTCTACAGGGGGGTGGGGACCCAGGGATATTTTCTAAAGGTCTTACAAATTATTTTTGTTGATTCAGCCTACATTTCTGACCGTCTTCATACAGAAAATAATTAGATACCCGTAAGTGTAAACTTGAAAATCTAACCGCATTCCGTAAGACCCAGCAGGCGGCATCAATCCACCCATGATCTATGATATTTACCTGCCAAACTGGATTTTCCCGAAAATATAAGCAATTTTAATTTCTCGTACTCACAAGTTAATTATCTGTCTCTCTTTATGCTTGGATTCAACCTTTGATGAATTTCATAAAGGTTGATTTTAGCTTAAAATGACTGGCAAGTCATTATAACAGCGAGCATTTTCCTATAAGCTCCAAGGGGAAACCGTAACATGTACTTATAACATGGGACTCTGGACGGCTTTCTCTGAACTACCACCCCTGTCACACCGGACAACTTGGCGCAGTAATCAGCAATGTGTTTGCTGTTGCGATTTGTGCATTACCACCTAACACACTCAAATGTCCGATCTAATGAAAAAACATTCAAGGCACGATGTTTTGTCGCGCGATATTTTACGAACATGGGTTGGGAGAGAGGGGGATGACATTTCTGCAACAAAAACAACAAAAAAAGGTGGTTTAGACGTAGCTACTCACCAACCACTCCCCATATAGCCAGTCGCAGCCACGTCATCCAGGACAGGTACATCATCATGGCGATGTTTACCCACATACTGAGGGCGGGAAGAAGAGGCACCAGAGGCATCTGAAATATATATGTCAATATGGCGTGTTAAAGTAAAATGACTTCACCAGTCAGTAATTTATTCTGGGAGATCGGTGTACGCTGGTCATATATGGATACATTTACCAGTATTTAAATATTGTTATCTTTAATTTGTGAAGAGATCTCGTCAAATTTTACCCACTTATAGTAGTTCTTAACGTTAAGTACCGTCTGCAAAGGTACGTTAAAAGACTATATTTTGTTCATTTGACATTACCCGAGCATATGGTAATAACTATTATTTTCACCTTTAATTTGCGTTGAGTTGCATTCATTATTCAAATGGTAATGATTTCAATACATATAAAGGGCAAAGTGCTATTTAATATTAGGACAGGCAAGCTGAAAAAAAGAAGTTTGACCATGCCAATCAAGTAAAACGTCACTCAGACACTAACCCGTGAGGTTGATTCTCATATAGGGACCATTCCCATAACCCAATCGTACTAGTAGGATCGATCTATCTCTGAGGGGATTCTCTCTAATTTGCATTCAGTTTAAGCGTGTATGAGGGTGAATTCCCCCCACTAACAGCTTCAGTGGGCGTAACAGACATTTAAGCCGCTTAAACTGAATGCAATTTAGTGAGAATCCCCTCGGAGTTAGATCGATCCTGCTGGTACAATAGGTTTATGGGAACCCACTCTTAAATGCAGATGCACCAAAGTATGTGACAAAGGCCCGCACGTACCGTGAATGTGAGGAAAGCATCGTTCTGCACGTGCATTATCAACACCGAATAGCAGCCAACCAGTCCCAAGGTGGTGAAGATGAAGAGGCAAACGCTCCACCAAACACCCTCCAGGAGATAGTCCTTGGAGTAAATCACCACGCCGCTCCAGGCAAACATAAACATCCCCATTAACACTGTCGCTAGTGTCGCCATCTTTCCAGGCCCAGCACCACTAATAACGGGCACGTCACAGAAATACCTTTTAAGCTTCCCGAAATCTGCGTAAGAGTATCTCTGCGGGATTTTATCTTTCCTTTGGAGTAGTTTAGATTTCTCTTTATCGGAGAGCGACTCCTCTGTCGCTGCGTCCCCAAGGACTGGGGCGTAGTCATCTTCTAACTGTTCGGGTTTCATTGCGAAAGAGTGGCTGGTTGTGGGCGCGTATCGTAAAACGATGACCGCTCCAGCGACAAAAGTGTAAGCAACGAGCGTCCCAATTGACACCAAGTCTGCAAGAGCCTCCAGACTGACCAGAAGGCTCAATATGGCAGCGATGAGCCCGAAGACTACGATCGAGATCGTCGGCGTTTGCGTCCGTTCGCTAATCCGAGAAAATATCACAAAGAAAAGACCGTCCGAGCTCATGGAGTAGACCGTTCTTGGGAGAGCAAACAGGGTGGCGATCAGATTTGACGTCAGAGCGAAGATTGAAAGCACGCCCACCAGCAAGGCGGCCCATGAGATCCCTCTGCGCTCAAATGCGTTGGCGAAGGTGGCAGATTCTGAGAGCGCATAATACGGTAAAAGCAAACTTAATCCGCCAGTTGTAAAGATATTCAGTCCTGTGACTAGTATAACAGAAAACACGGAGGATCTTGGAACCGAGTCATTGGGATCGATGGCTTCCTCGCTGATTATGGATATTGCATCGAAGCCAATATATGCATAAAACAATGTAGCAGATCCCGCAATTACTCCGGGAAATCCGTATGGTAAGAAACCATCTGTATACTTCGTCGTGTCTGCAAAGCAGTACGCCAGTATCCCCGTGAACAAGACTATCAGAATATTAGCAACTCCGAACACATTGTTCATGGACACCGACTCGCGGGTTCCCAAAATGGCGATAATGAGACATGTGATGAGAATAACAAAGAAAGCAATAAAATCCGGGGAGGTCTCAGCGATCCCTAGCGACCACACCCCAATGTTGGTTTCCGTCCAATTATGAATCCTACCTCCAAAGATCTGGTCCACAGCTCCACCTATCGAGCGTCCCGACGCCGCGGCGCCAATGAGATACTCCAAGATTACATTCCACCCTATAATGAAGGCCAAGAACTCCCCGATTACGACATAGGTGTAACTGTACGCCGAGCCCGCTTTTGGCACCCTGGCGCCAAATTCGGCGTAACACAAGGCTGACAGAAGGGCCGCTACGCCAGCAAATAGGTACGAGAGTGTCGCGCCTGGCCCGGCCTTGTTTCGCATGGCGATTCCCGTCAACATGAAGACACTGGCCGCCATTTGGCTGACACCAAATAGGGTGAGGTCAATAGTTGTGAGACAGCGTCGTAAGGGGGTTTGAAGGACGTCCGTGTCCAGGGTTTTTCTTCTGGTGATTTTCCACCATAAGCTTCCCTTTTCTGTCATGGTTGAGGTTTCTTTGTTTCCTGGTTTTTCGTCTTTTTTTGTCGAATTTTCCTTGGTGCCCTGAAATTCATAACAAACAGTTTGAAAGTATATTCTTTGCCGTTTTTGTTTAAATGAAAGACGCTCGTGCAGGAGCAATTAAAATGTTTTTTTTTTATTATTTACGCACAAAAATTTCGTTTTGTTTGTATTTTAATATAATTCTTAAAAGAAATGATTATGCACAATCGTTTACATATACATGGCACGCGAGCGTCCACTGCTACTCTATCAGCACTTATTTATTTGCACATTTACTGCTGATTCTTTCAATTTTTGAGGTATTACGTTTATGTACAAAATGTAATTATTGGAAACACTGTGTTTAATACTGACCATAATAAGATTAAGCAGAATATAAAATATCCATAATTTATCTCTTTGGGATGCAAAAGGCGGAAATTCGTACTTTTAATGCCACCGACATCTAGACCTCATTTTGCTAAGTATATTCACTGTGATGGAAATTATTTTGTACAAAGGGTCTCTCTCTCAATAATGCATTTAATTATTTCTGTCCACTCGAGCAACAACAGCGGTGTTTATACGGATGTATCAACGCTATGAATGGGAAATAAAAATGGTCAGCAAGAATGTGCAACCATGTATTCAAGTATGACACCAACAATAGGGCCTTTAATTGTACATGTACGTAAAGAGCACGTGCGCGTACATCAAGACAAACTCGCTTGGAAGACCATTCGGCCACATAACAAATTACGCTTAACTTACAACTAGAGCTAATTTGATAGGTCTTAGCCTACATACATGTACGGTATACTGTATGGAAGTTCAGAAAGGTTGTATCGAAATCCTAAATAAAATTCTATCAAGGATATTTTAAGGGAGGAAGCACAATGACGTGCGCTAAGGCATCACAGACAGGCAATATTTACAGCTTGTTGGTAGACGTTGATTGAAGGAAAAATTAAAAGACTTGGCAAGGCTGGTTTGGGTGAATTGAAACGACTGTGCATTTAGTTAAGAAAGACATCCCAAAAATATTTTCTTCTCTATGGAGCAATTGACCCCCACCCACTCACCCCACCCCACCCATCCACCCCACCAACTGACCACAGCCCAGTCCAGGTGTAAAAGAAATGGCAGTCCGCTAGGAACCGTAGTCCGCTTCCCATTACTTTGTACAGGTGACATTCGTCCATATACTAACCCCAATACTCCAACTAACCTTAACCTGTACTTATCATATGGGAGCCCGGACTTCCATTCCTGTTACACCAGCACACTGCAGCGTGGCAGTATTTATACATTTTGTCCCATCAACTTTGTGGCACAATTTGAATATATTCTTCTCATTTTAAAGCAACAGTAGCAGTCAGTATATAAATTGCTATCGAAGTCTAGTGTGGTCTGTATCAGGCTCCTGTGGCTTTTTATTTCACCGACATCGAGCATCATTTACTAGCGGCCTACCCCAATACATATCGGTAAGCACAATATTACAAATAATGACTTGACGGTGAAAATAATGTTGCGGTATCATTGATACCATCTTGTTTGTTACGGAAATGTGCGTTTAAGGGTGTATACATATGATTTATCACTACCTAATCAACTTAACGGACAGAGTCAAAATTACAAGATGCGCTGTGACAATACGAGCCACTTAAATTAACTGTATTGAGTCCTTTTGTGTGTGTGTTTTTTTTTTAATTTTTTTTATTTAATAAAAACATCAAAGATTATTTTTAAACTTTTCCAATACCCTTCCCCACCTTAAAGGTAGCAGGTATATGCTATTAGTGACACGCGGAAGTATAACGTGTACGTGACACCTGGGTTTCACGTCATACACAAACATGCGCGCGTGCATTCGCACGTGAATATATGCACAGTAGTATACAGTAACGTGTTGATGGTGCTGGAATTTCTTTGCATGTGTCATTGCAGCTTCTTATGATGAATTGTTACTAGGGTCTTCTTGAATAGGTCTTCACGGAAAGATGCTCATAGTGTCAAATTACTGACAGTGTCGAGTGACGGTGAATACGACGTTATATACATGTAGCTCAGCATATTTCTGACTCGAATGAAGTGTCATATTACATATACTGACAGTATTGTGATAGTGAATGCGGTTTTACATATCTCTGCATATATCTGACTCGAGTGCAGTGTAGTTTTTAAACATGCCAATAATTCATACGGTCATATAGGGATATAAATAGAACTCTCTCTCTCTCTCTCTCTCTCTCTCTCTCTCTCTCTCTCTCTCTCTGTGTGTGTGTGTGTGTGTGTGTGTGTGTGTGTGTGTGCTTGCGTGCGCGAATGTCGGAAATTATGAAGGATCGAACGGGCGCATTTTTGTGCTTTTGCGTGTCAACAATTGTGTTTTACTTCATTCATGTAGAAATGCGGGTTCGTCGTAATCTCAGCATTTCCATTGCAGACACACTGGTTTAAACCCTGAATAGGTGCGTGACGCCGTCACATTGAACAGGTGTGCGACGGGGGATTGTTTTCACGGTTCTTTAAACACCACATTTGCTACTGGCATGCTACTCTCTGCCCACAGGGGACGTTAGTAGTCCGTTTCAAAAATGCTGAAAGCACAGTGTGATTT